AAAAAAAAAAAAAAAAAAATAGCAAAATGAATCATATTGTTCTGATATGTGCTTATGTGTTATCTTTACCTATACGACGTAGGCTGAATGACGAATAAACGAAACATTCTGTTAAATATAGTTTTAATCATTGTTGTATTGTATAGATATTTTAATTGAAGAACTTAGTTACGATGAAGGATATAATAGCTGATCTACCAAAAGGCCCTTTAGACCCTTATAGAAAGTGTGCAACATTTGATTGGAAGTTATTGAAGCTTAATTTAGAAGGAGAGGATTTTGTGAAATTTCAGGTATTTAGAGAGATTTTATTGTAGTAATATATTTAAAAAAATTTCTATATTTGAAATTTCCTTGTCATTCCAGAAAACTTTGTGGGATTTTATAAAAAAATCACCAGTATTTCAAAGACATACCTGTCTTACTTTAGATGAAGAACGAAGGCTTTGTAATGCTCGTGTTCGAGCACTAAGGGACAACAATATTGCTGTATACATTATTAACAATAATAATAAATAAACAGAAAAACAATTTTTATATTAGACATATATAATTTTTTTTTATAGAATCCATTAACTCATGCACATTGGTTTAACATAATGTTTCAATATGAAGCGTCTATACCAATAAAAATGGGCGTGATGGATGGTATGGTACCAAGTTCAATTCTTGCACTGGGCAATGAAAATCATTTCCAGACTGTAGAAAAGATTCAAGATGGACAAGTAAGCTTTTAATGAAACATATTTTAAATATTTCAATACTCATTAAAGATTGTTATTTTGTCTTTATTTTGGTAAAATCTTTTGTTTATGTTTATGCTAATAAATTGTAACATATGTAATATTTTTCTTTTAGTATACATGTTGTTTTGCACTAACGGAAATATCTCATGGAACAAACGCAAAAGGAATAAGAACTACAGCTACATATGATGCAAAATCAAAGGGTTTTATCTTAAACACTCCTGATTTCGAAGCTGCAAAATGTTGGATTGGTGGTCTAGGTGAGTAATATAATAGGAACATACCAAATGAATTTAGAAAATAAAAATGTATGCATTTTCAGGAAAAACTGCAACACATGCTATTGTGTTTGCGCAACTAATTACACCAGATCAACAAAATCATGGACTTCATACTTTTATTGTACCTGTCAGAGATCCAAATACCCATATGCCTTATCCAAATATTAATGTTGGTGACATGGGTGAAAAAATTGCGTTAAATGGAGTGGACAATGGGTTTATAATGTTCAACAATTATTTTATTTCTCGAACATGTTTGTTAAATAAAACGGCAGATGTTACTGAAGATGGGAATTATACAGCATCTGTGAAAGATAAAAGCAAACGATTTGGTGAGAATTTAAAGAAATCACGTACTACCTTTGATCCAATTTGGATAGCAATTTTAACAATACATATATATATTTAAATTCGTATAGGTGCATCCTTAGGTGCATTATCTTCGGGACGTATTACCATTACATCAATATGTGCAAATTTTGCATCTGTTGCAATAACTATTGCTATACGATATTGCGCCGTAAGGAAACAATTTGGACCATCAGAATTGGAGGAATGGCCAGTTATAGAATATCAAGCGCAGGTATTTAAATGAATCGAATGATTTTAAAAAAATAAAATATGTTGCGCGTACAATTAAAATTTAACATAAACATGTAGCAATGGCGATTATTTCCTCACTTGGCAGAAACATATGCTCTAAAAATATTTTCCGTTGAGTTTGTAAACCAAATGTGCGACTTTAATTTCAAACTTATAACTACAAAAAATCAAGATAATATTGATAATGAAGGTATGGAAATTCACGCATTATCTTCTGCAACAAAGCCGGTATGTTCATGGACCAGTCGAGATATTATACAGGATTGTAGAGAGTCTTGCGGAGGGCATGGTTACCTTAAAAGTATGTCGATTCTAAATTACATATAACAAAATAATTTAGACTTTGTTTTTATCTTATTCAGTTTTTTTTTTTTTGTAATTGTTAGTTTCACGTTTGGGTGACTTGAGAGCTGAAAATGATGTAACTTGTACATTTGAGGGTGAAAATAATGTTTTGATTCAGCAAGCTAGCAATTGGTTATTAAACCAATGGTCAAACGTATTAAGTGGAAAACCAATAAATTCTCCTTTGGGAACAGCAGATTTTATGAAAAATGCCAACAATACTTTAATACATACCTTCTCTTATTCGACAATCGATGAAACAATGAAACCAGAAAGTATGAAAACTAATTTAAACACTATTCATGATTCACGACTTTATTTAATGTCTATTTCTTACAGATATATTTTTATCCTTTACGTGGTTATTATGTTATTATGTAAGAAGAACATATGATCAGACACAAATCTTAAAACATAAAGGTTATGATGATTTTGAAATTAGAAATAATATTCAAGTATTCTTTGCACAAACATTATCTCTATTATATGGGCAGGTAATAATATATATATACACATACATACATAT